CTAACCAAGGCTTATCTCTACTGAAGGGGGTGTGATTACAGGTCACCACACGTCACAGGAAGGGGCAGTACAATCAGCATACAAGCAATAGGAGGGGGAAATGCAATGGGCATAGGCGTAACAGGAAGAGGATGGGCTAGGGGTGTACACGTGATAGGAAGGGGCGGGACTACGGGTATACATGTGACATGAATGGGCGGACCCTAGATTCAGGATGGCAGCCTAACCTTGATCACCCTGGTTCTCCTGCCTTCCCTCAAGCACAGAGGTTCCCAGCCTTCCTGATGCCACCACCCTTTCAGACAGTTCCTCATGCGGTGCTGACCCCAAACATAACATTATTTTTGTTGCTCCTTCATCAATGTAATTTTGCTACTCTTATGAATGAGGTGACCCCTGTGAAAGGGTCGCTTGGCCCCTAAAGGGATTGTTGTAGCCTACTGTCCATTCCCAGAAAGAAAAGAACCCAGACCGCCGACAAGTTCAAAAGAAAAAGTTTTATTTCCTGCACAGGGACCATCAGCCCTCTTTGAAAGGAGTCTGAGCGGTACCCCGTTTACTTTTCCAAAGGTTTTTATACTGTGGCAATGTGCAGGTTCGCAAGCAAGCGGAGTACAGAAGCAGGATATCGCGGTTAGCCATTCCTAGTCAAACAATCACTGCTCTTGGTTGAACAATAATCGCTCCGATCGTTCTTCCAAGCCTTCTGAACATACATTTCCTTCAGCACAGTCCGTTGCGCTTGTCAGCACAGCCTGCCTCCCTAACATCAGCTAGTTCATTCATAGTTCACGATGGCTTCTGTCAGCTCAAAACGGCGTCACTCTTGTCAAGGCTGTTGAAGCTTTCCCCAGAGCTGCTACAGGGTCGTGATCCACAAGTTGAGAACCGTTGCCCTGGCAGGTAAGGGATTTGTTGGATGTCGGTCTTTTCCTGGGCACTTTTGCTGTGTTGCCTGTATCACTGCCATGGTCTCCACCTCCAGCAATGCTTCCTGACTCTACCTGCATAGTTGGGATGCCTCCACGCTGGGCCTTTGGGGATCTTGTGGGAGGAGGAGGGTGTGCCAGATTGCAAGAGCTGTCCTCCAGGAATGGATTGTAGGGGAACTCAGCCTGTTTACAACTTGCTAACATAAGTAAGTGCTGTTCACAACAGTAAATTGTTCACAATTTAGTAATATCAATAAGCACAAGTCAGCCCATGCTTACTTGCCTACGGAGGATTCCATCCCCGTCAGGGCTTGTGAATTTGGAAACAGGTTTGATTCTTTAGGGAAATGGTGTGAGGTTGGGGATGGGATGGCAGCATCGCTAACAGCAGAATCTTTGATGTGATGAAAAAAGACAAAGTTGTTCACTATAGATTAGTAAATACGCACAAGAACCCCTCTGCTTACCTTGCTTCTTGAGTAATCAAATACGGTCCGTGTTGCCCCATACCAGTCCAAAAAGGAAATGTGACGGAACCTAGAACTAAGCTGGCATTTTCCTACCACAGCCAGGAGTCTGGCAAGATGGGCATCTGCCCTCCACCCTGCATTGACCCTGCAGCAGCATTCTGGGCTCTGGTTGGTTGCAGGCAATGGTGGCTATGAGAACGATATCGGACGGGGAGAGGGGAGGTATTCAGTCCTCTGGTGCATCTTTGCTGGCCATAGTTTGACGCAGCTCCTGTCCAATGACCTTCTACAGACATTGGATTCTGTGTCTGCCCTTCACCCACCCTCTAGACCCAGGAAGGCAACAGCTGTCATACTTGCTGACCCCTGGATGCTTCACCGGTCCTCAGTGGTTATCTTCTTGTGACCGGTTCACTTCCTTAGTTACCTGCTAAGTGTGCCTAGTTTCCATCAGGACCTACCAGGATACTGGGAATGTGTCAGGGTGGGCATACTGAGCAGTCTTCCTTTGGAGATTGGCACGCCGTGTCTCCAGCGGCCCAGGTGGGGCTCCCCTGTGGAGTAGATGGGCAGGATGTGCAGGACCTGAGGGCTCAGGACGGACTATGAGACCAGGTCCATGAGGGGCAGTGGGAGAAGGCACAGTCAGGTGGGCAGCCAAAAACTGTTGATATGTGTGACACCTGCCATTGAAATCACGTAAGAAATCATCCTTCTTCTAACATGACACAGCCCAGCAGCCACTTAGCTGCTCCTTGTAAACACCTCTTCCCTCTTGAAGAGATGATTGCCCAGTTGACAAATTGCTATTTGAAAAATTGGCTCTCCTTGACATGATTCAGTCTTTGCCATGCAGGGCTGTGTGGCAAATTCCATTTGGCAAATTAGTCTGCTCATGCCACCGCCTGATTCTCCCAACCCAAGGATAACCTGGACTTGACCTTCGGACCTGGAATGCCTGCATTCAAGGACTTCTTTCTTGGGGTCCAGCATGGGCTGGATGTCTTCCAGATGAGCTGTGTGTGTGTATGTGGGAGAGGGGTTGGTAACTCCCACCTGAATCACCTTCAACCTCATCCCACAGAGGTAAAAACTTCACTGCAAGAGCTGCCCTAAGCCCTGACCCTTAGACCAGAATCCAGCTCTGGTTAGAAGGTTTTTGAACCATCCTAGGTTGTTTGGCTGGAAAGGGGTCTAACCCCCAAGGGGTTGGCTTGAGGGATAGCTCAGAAGGATCCTGTTGGGCACACAGTCTGTGCTGAGGGCAGGGGGACCCAGCTAAAGCTCTTCCATGGCCTTGCTGGACCTATTGGGTCTTTCAACAAGTATTGGATCCAGATTGGGGTCATGCTAGTTTGTCACTGAAATTGGGGTGCTCATGCTGGAGTCCAATGGGTGAGAGTGGAGCAGGGTCTGTGGAAGAGTGTGCAGTGGGGGGCAACTGTCATCTGACAGGGTGGAAAAAGCACCACTGTTCTGAGTCTGTGGTGGGCTATGCTGTGTTGATGGGGAGCTCCTGAGGAGAGGGGGGCTGTGGAGAACCACCAGGGGAGACGCTGGTGGGAAGAATGGGTGTGGGGTAAGGTGGGAGACACTGCCTTTCTGACAGGGGAAGGGGCATAAGAGGACTCTTGGTGGTGGTGAGCGGGGGATACACACAAGCTCAGAGGAAGTGAGGGTGGGGCTTTGATAGGATCAGAGGTATCCCTGTGGGTTCCTCAGGCCACTTCCTACCTGTGTGTGCCAGGTTCCCCCCACTCTGCCGGGCCTGCCTAATGCCATGTGTGTGTGGGGGGGGAGGGATACACACAAGCTCAGAGATCAGAAATATCCCTGTGGGTCCCTCAGGCCACTTCCCACACCACCACCACCCCTCATCCACAGCTTTGGAAGGGGGGTCCACAGAGTCATACACGTATATTTAATTTGTATCTATTCTCTTAAAGAAGGCACCTGGGAATCACTGCAGATTGGATCCATCTAGATACAGCACACATGTGCACCTGTGCACCTGTGACCTGTGGTGCCTGCCACCCAAAGCAACTTCTGCCCTCCCACCGCAGCCAGCAAAGTCAGTCACAGCCCAGGGCCTCCCAGCACCATGGTCAGATAAAGACTAATTGGGCTCCACCAACTAGAGAAGCAGTCCTCTGCCAAGCGGCTCTAGGGCCCACCTGGCTGGTGAGGGCTCACTGCCAAGGGGCCCCCACCTAGCACATTCAGTGACGGGGTGGAGAGAACACGTTTATCGTGATGCTGAGAACCACGAGCTTATGTGCATCACCCCACTGTCAGTGCCACGGCCAGCAAGGTGTGGCTGCCCCATTTTATAGACGAGGAACCTGAGGCTTAGTGACTGAGGGAGTGAGCGTGCGGCACCAAGCGAGGCATCTCCTTTCATCCTGAGTCACTTGGGAGGCAGCCTAGCATGGGATGTGTCAGGGGCCGGCAGAGGGCTTTCTGGGGAATTCTCGTGGTGGCCAGAGTGGTGGCAGGGCCCTCTGTCTGCTCCCCCAAGGTCCCCTGGGGTCAGGACCCTGCTGGCCTTGTGGAGCTTCCCCAGAGGCTGGGTCCCAAAGGGCAGGGGAGACCGGAGTCCCCTCACATGATGCCCCGTGCTCCCATGAAGGAGAGGCAGCTGACCAGCAAGTCCGGGCTGGCCACATTACTGATTGTTAGCGTGACCAAACCTGGCCTTGGGCCAAACCTAGGTCCCCACCCCCACAGTGGAGGCTGGGATTCGACTCTGGTCCCAAGGAACGGGGAGGGCAGCAAGCTCCCACTGCACAGTGGTCTTGACCCACGACTTACCTTGGTCCCTGCACTGGAGACCCTCCAAACCCTGACCAGACCTCACTGGGGCCCTCAGTACAGCAGGCTGGATGTCCTCGGCCTGTCTCTGTGTACACGGGTGACCCCGGAGCCCCGGGCTGGGAGAATCCAGGTCCAGGCAGCCTGTTTGAATACCCTCTCAAGAAACTGGAAGATGGATGTGTGCTTTTTGGCACCACTTTAAAGCTTTCAGAGTCCTGGTGGTATGATGGTTACGCATTAGGCTGCTAACTACCAGGTCAGCAGTTCGAAACCACCAGCCGCTCCTTGGGAGAAAGACAGGGCGTACTACTATGGGACAGAGTCACAGCCTCTGAAACTCACAGGAGCAATTCCACCCCAGTCCTGCAGAGTCCCTGTGAGGCGGCATCCAGTTGGTGGCAGTGAATTTGGTTTTGTTGTTGTTGGCTTAATTCAAAAAGCTTTAAGGGCTCTTCCTAATAGGGGCTGGCAGGGATGCTGTTTCCCAAAGGCCTCATAGGTGCCTGCCTCAGCAGTGGGATGTCTCTTCAAGACACCCCCTCCCTCCTGAACGTCTAGAAAATCCTTTTCCTTCCTCATGCCTGATGGGACCCACAGAGTGGGGCTGGGGGAGGTCTCCTGATGCCGGACGGGCTTTGCCAGGTGCCCATTGTGGAGCTGCCCCACCCAATCCTTCCCCCTGTAGCTGCCCACACTGACTCACCCCACCCAGCCTCCTACTCGCTAGGCCCCAAAGCCTGATGAGGAGGTATGGAGGCATCTATAAAAGGCTGCCTCGAGTCAGGCTCAGCATTTAGCGTGACTGCCGCCTGCTGCTTCACTATGCTGGGAGGCCTGGGGAAGCTGGCTGCCGAGGGCCTGGCCCACCGCACGGAGAAGGCCACGGAGGAAGTTGGTAAGGCCACTGTGGTTTCTTCCACTGGGAGGGTCTCCTCAGCCCAGGTGGGAGCACACACACACTGGCTCCCCTAAAGCTGGCCTGACAACAGGTAGAGTGGTTTGGGGCCCCCTTTGCCCATTTGGAGCCTGACCAGTAGTCCTCCTGCTGTCAATGGAGGTGGGGCCTTCAGGGAGAGGAAGGCCGAGCATGGGGCTTGGCTTGGCCTGCCCCAGAGTCCTGTGGTTGGGGGGGACTCTGAGGTCAAGGGAGGGCCCAGGAGAGGCTGCTGGGGGCGCAGCAGGCCTCCAAGGTCCTGACCTCCACGTCAAAGCAGCCTCCTCTGAATGTCCTCTGAAGAAAGTGGAAGGTGGATTTTTATTTTTACCATCATTTTAAGGCTTTAAAGACTTCTCCAATGAACAGTTGCCAGAGTCAGACTCCAGAGTTTATACCAAGGATATTTGCAGTTTTCTCAAATCCCAAGAAATCTGTTTTGATAGAGTTTAATCCTGTCTGTGCTTCTGCAAACACGTCTGTATTTCAGTTGGTGGCACTGCAGCTGGGGTGGGCCACCAGATTCCATCTTTCGCTCACCCCCGAGGTGGGCATTTCTCCCATCTTAGAGAGGAGGGAGCCCAGATCTTCTGACTCCAAATGGTTCCTTTCTAGCTCACCGCCACCCAAACGCTGAGCCCTCTCAGGTGCGCAGGGAGGTTGCTCTTAGGAGAGGAATTGCTTTAGGGCACTCGGTTTAGCTGCCGCTGCTGCGGCCTCTATTGGTCCTGCCAGGATAGGACAGCCAGGATATCCTGACTGTCCAGGGAAGCCAACCTTGGATCCTGGCCCCTGGCTCCATGAAGACCCTGCCTGATGACTTTCCAGGACATGCTAGGCTGGGGGCAAGAGGCTTCCACTGCAGCTCTCTGACTCTCTCCGCCCTGCAGTGTCTCCAAGAAGCCAGGAAGGGGCTAGCTGGGACCACCCTCCTCCTACTGTCTGCCTGCTGGGTGTCCAGGATCACCTGGCCCAGCTGTGAGGAGGTTTGCCTGGCACTGTGTTCTCACTCGGGACTTCCTTTCTCTTTGCAGTTCATGCTGTGGAGGATGTGGTGAAGGAAGTGGTAGGACACGCCAAGGAGGTTGGAGAGAAAGGTATCTCTGAGATCTGAGCCAAGGAGCTAGGGAGGGAGGGAGAGGAGTTAAATGCTGGGGGTAACTCATTCTTTGTCCAACAAGTTCAAACCCTGACCTGGTATTTCCAGTTGGTATACAATTATCTATGTTGATCTAAGGCCCCTGACCACACTGGCCTGTACAATTCCCTCTAGATAATCCTCTTTGTGGAATCTGACAAAAGACTATGTGGCAACCTGTTGCAACAAAATATGTAATATAGAAACGTATACATTTTTATAAATGTCATTGTAGATGAAAACATAGGAGGGCCAGTCCAAAAGTAGTGCTATTCAGTCTGCAGTTTGTATCCCCCAGATATCCCCCCAACACACTGTGTGTGATCCTGTCTCTGCCCTTGGCAGATGGTGCCCACCAGCTCTCTCTGCACCATCACTGTGTCTGGCTTGTTGGCAGACCTGCCAACAGAAATCCTATCAAAACCGTGACTCCTCAGGGAATCTGCTGGGCAAGTTCAGTTTAAGGCAGAGAGGTCAGCTCAGAAGGTTATAGTGACTGGACTTGGGGAGGCTTAAGAGGTCATCTTGATAGATTTTTTTTTTTAAGGACACTGTAAAATCATGGGGCCTCATTTTGAAGTTTTATGAAAATTAAAAACTGAAACAACCAGGATATATATATATAGCATCAGGAAAACTTACCCTATCCACCTGCAGCCCTGATCGTACTTTTTGTTCTTAAACTTTTGGTCTTAAAACTCAAAGAAGATTTTTAAAAACATCCTCAAGGAGGACAAACTATCGTGTTGCTGTGGTGTGAATCCAAGAGGGTAGATGTCATTGGGGGAAGGGTCAGAGAGAAGAAAAACCACTTCCAAAATACATAGATCTTGATGGACAATATGTCGAGAAAGAACAATTTCTCACTCTGATATTTTTGTTTCATAAAGGTGTCCGTGATACGGTAGCAATACTTTTGGACTGACTTTTTTCCTGCCCATTTATTTATATATGCCGATGTTAGAACTATAGAAAAGGTGTACAGATACCTCATTCTGTACAGCAAAATAGATTCCAGAAGGATCGAGAATTTGTATACAAACACGTGGTGTTACTGTAAGAAGATAAAATAGCAATCTTTGTGTTGATTTGGAGAGGGGGCATCCTTTTAAAACTGTGACACCCCCCCCCAAACAAGAGTTAGTAGGCAAATTTACCTGTAAAACTTAATTTTATTCCATATTAAAGAAAGTGATATAAACCAAGCCAAAAGGAAAACCAAATGCAAAAAAGAAAAAAAAATGCTACAAATTCATGCAAAGGGCTAATGCTTGCATTTATAAATGGCTAAATGGAAATAGAAGGGGGCCTGGTGCTCTAGTGGATTTGTCGTCAGGCTGCAGTTTGAAACCACCAGCCACACATTAGAGAGAAAGATGTGGTTTTTGCTCCGTAATGATTTCCAGCCCGGGAAACCCAAAGAGCATTTTTATTTTATTCTACAGGGTTGCTAGAAGTCAGAGTAGACTCGATGCCAGGGGGTAGGGTAAATGAAAATCCAACAATGCAATGTTAAAATGATCAAAAGAGACAAGCAGATCCTTTACAAGAAAAGTAAGTATAAAGAGTCAACATATCAACCAGAGGATACCCCCTCTCACTCATAATTGAAGAATTGCATGTCCTTAGGGATATGGGAAATACCCAAATTTGATTTCACTGGGCCAAGAGCTCAGTTGTTATTCCTCTAGTCTCCTCCAGGGGGTGCTTCGAGAGCTCAGTTGCCATTCCCCTAATCCTCCTCCAGTGGGTGCTTTGAGAGCTCAGTTGCTATTCCCCTAGTCTCCTCCAGGGGGTGCTTTGAGAAGGCAGCCATAGCCACAGGTACTCAAGTTGAGACTTGGCTTGAAATGTGTTCGGCTCACCTGCACATCGCCCTCTTTCCTTTTGATAGCGATTGCAGATGCCTTGAAGAAAGCCCACGACACAGGGGACAGAGTGGTGAAGGAAGCCACTGAGGCGGTGACCAGCACAGTTGCAAATGCCGTCACGCACGCCGTGGAGGGGCTGGGCAAATTGGGACAGTGAGCACACCGGCCCCTGACACTACACATCCTGGATTGCAATAAAAGCTGTGAGATGTATACACTGGGTCCTAGTTGTATTGTTATTTGGGAGGGGATATTAGGCAAAATCATTTTCATTGGAAAGAATGAGTTCGTACCTCCTCTGCACTGCACTGACTGGCAGGTTTGATAGGCTCCTAGGCTTATTCGGATGATCTTTCTAAGTTTTCCCATGACAACAAGGAGCTCTTAAAGAAGTGCTAGTGTCTGTGCTATGCTTCCTAAAAGGCTATTTTCCCAGGTACATTCTGCAGCTGTCAGAAGCCATTGTACTTTAATGACGTCTCAAAGGACCACATTTTAGCTTACCTGTTCTTCCAGGTTTTCCTTGAAATATCCTTGCAGGAACCAGGAAAGATAACTCACTGACTGGATTGAGTTTAGTTAGGGAGGCTCAGATCACTTGAGCTGCTTCATTTTCTGAAAGAGGCTTCCGACAAAGATTCTGCTGGTCAGTCATTTACAACCCAGGTCTGGACTCGTTCCTGATTGCTGAAGCCGTGTTGTAGCTCAGAGAATGGAGTTAGGCCTAATCCTTGCTAATGGGAGCCGTGGGCCAGAATGTCTGAACTTCACTCTTTCCCAGTAGGCAAATTGATATGAAACTAAACATGTTGAAGTGATATTTAATATGCACATATATATTTGATTTTAAAGGAGGGAATTGTTTATAAAGATATGACACCCTCTCTCTTGCTGGAAGCAGAATTTCGTAGGTGTTTGGGTTTTAGTTAGTGGTCTCTCTTAGAATTGCCACGCGTTTTCGAACAGCCGAGAGACATTGAATGTCCTGGTTCTGGAAGATTTGCCAGAGTCCGGCTAGTTCTGGACCTTATATCTTGGTTTGAGTCCCGACAACCTTTGAACTTATCAAATTGAAGCCCAAGCTCAAAAGCATGTAGCGTGAGTCGGTGCAATATTTTTCCAGGACTTTAATCTTCAGATGTGCACAGGAAGATACGGGTGTTGAACGGCATGCTACATGTTTCTGATAGCAAGAGATGGGAAACAACCTAAAATATTTACCGGAAATCACTCAGGTGCCAAGTATTCTGCTTAGTAGACTGGACACGCAGGGAGCCCTGGTGACTAGTGGGTCACACACTGGGCTGCTAACTACATGGTCAGTAATTCAAAACCCACATCAATCTGCCAGAGAAAGAGGAAGCTTTCTATTCCAGTAAAGACTTACAATCTCAGAGACCCACGCAGGCAGTTCTACGCTGTCCTGTAGGGTTGCTAGAAATTGAATCAACCTGATCACAGTGAGGCCCATTCCTTCTAAGAGAACAAATGTTGCCTTGTTAGCGCCATCTGTTTATGGTGTCTTCTTAAAGCACCACTAGATAACTAAGATGTATCTATAAAAAAATCAAGTTGGTAACAGTTGTGTGATGGGTATATTTACCAAAACCAAACAGGGGTAGTTGCTGAGCCAGCTTATGTCCATTCGAACATATCATTGTAGTTGTTTGCTTGGTTTGCAAACTTAGGATTAGGGTTTCCTGGGACATCCTAATTAATTGGCTTAATAATGTGCTTCATGCTTCTGGTCTGTCTCCTAGTTTATTATGTAGTACCTGGCATCTTCAAAGCTTGCAGGTGGCCATCCAAGGCACAACAGTTGGTCTCTATTCACCTGGACTACCCCCCCCGCCCCCCAACCTATCATGACCTCAATTCTACCTTACAAATCCGGCTAGACCAGAGCATGTACACTGAAATAGATAAGAGCCGGAAACAGGGAATCCAGGACAGATAAATCCTTCAGGACCAATAATGAGAGTAGCCATACCAGGAGGGTAAGGGGAAGATAGATGGTAGGGTGGGGAGGGTGGAGGGAGAAAAGGGGAACCGATCACAATGATCAACATATAGCCTCTTGCCAGGGGGATGGGCAACAGAAAAGTGGGTGAAGGGAGACATCGGTCAGTGTAAGACATGAAAATAATAATAATTTATAAATTATCAAGGGTTCATGAAGGAGAGAGGGTGAGGGAAGGAAAAAAAATGAGGTGCTGATACCAAGGGCTCAAGTAGAAAGAAAATGCTTTGAAAATGATGATGGCAATATATGCATGCATGTGCTTGATACAATTGATGTATGGATTGTTGTTATCAGAGCTGTAAGAGCCCCCAATAAAATGATTTTAAAAAGAAAGAATGAAAACCTTATGGGGCATAGTTCTACTGTGACACACGGGGTCACCGTGATTTGGAATCTACTCCACAGTAAGTGGTTTTCAATGAAGGAATCCATGACAGACTCTCTCTCTCTCTCTTTTTAATCAATTTATTAGGGGCTCATACAACTCTTATCACAATCCATACATACATCAATTGTGTAAAGCACATTTGTACATCCATTGCCCTCATCATTCTCAAAACATTTGCTTTCCACTTAAGCCCCTGGTATCAGCTCCTCATTTTCCCCCTCCTTCCCCGCGCTCTCCCCCATGTACCCTTGATAATTTATAAATTATTATTTTGTCATAGCTTACACTGGACAGACTCTCTTTTTGACTCACGTTGAATGGCGGTCCATTCTCTTGACCTTGGGTTTATCAAGATGTCACTTCCTTAACATGATCCCTCCCCCACCTTCCTCCACCTGTATGGCTGGAGCTCCCATGACACTGTGTGGGGACTGTGCTTGTTTGTCTCCTTTGTCCTTACAAGGTAAGTCCTCGAGGGCAGAGCCAGGTCAGCCTTATCTTCTGTCCCATGACTGAGACGCAGCTGTCATATCTTCTAACGAATCCCAAGGAGACTCCATAACTTGATCGGACCTTATTTACTGAGGTTCACGAAGCAGGTTGAGCCCAGCCTGGCAGAGAAGAAGGCTGTGGCCACATGCCTGTTGGCTATCGGTCGAGTGTGCCCAATCAATGGTTCCTTTCCCAATTTCCCACAAATTCCCTCATTCTCCAAATCCCAGTTTCCCACATTACACTTGGACACCCCTTAACAAGTGTATTTGTGAGTGGTGGTCTTTCCTTTAGACAAATCTTTCTCCATGGTTTCCCTTTCTTCCCCTCCCTACTTCCACCTCTTCACGACCCAATTTTCCTCAACAGCATGAGCCTCCTTTATGTTTATCTTTGGACTCTCCCTTATGCCAGGTCACCTTCCAGTCGATTGCTCAGCTTTGACGCCTGTCAAATTCACAAGACGAAATTTATCTATTTTCATCTCCCTCTTCTTCTCCTACTTTGTTTGTGTGTGTGTGTGTGGGGGGGGGAGCGGCTAGTTTCATTTACACTCCACGCCACCCTTCTCACCCACACACTTGTTTTATCCTAGATCTGGAGTTAAGAGCTCTCGGTCATTCCTTTTGCAGAAATCATTTCTTCTGTCTTTTACCTGATGGATGTTACTGTTCTAGAGGTTTCCTCAGGAATGAACTATTTGTGGGTAAAATAATATGACATCTGACATATGCGGTGATAATTGTTCTGGCTCGGTAATGAGTCTTTGAGGCTTCATTGTAGTGTCTTTATTTTGTGGATGACATTTTCTATTATTTTCAAAGGTTAAAGGGTTAGAATAAAAGAGGACTCATATCCACAATATCCTGAATTCTTTTTTTAAAAATAATTTCATTAGGGGCTCATATAACGCCTATCACAATCCATACATTATCCTGAATTCTTAAGTGTTGGGTGCTTTGGGTAGATAACCGTTATCTTTTATAATTGACTGTTTGAAATTTGTGGTTCACACCTTTGTCCCTGAATGTCTTGAATACCTCTCAGGTGCCCTTTCTAGGTGGGCATGGTGGCAATCCCTACAAATCTGATGGCCTCTGGAACTTCCAATGTCTGGTTTGATCCCTGGCTGGCTATCCCAAGGCATCGTTCTTTATAACAATATAATTCATCATTTCAGTGACGATCGTCCTGGATCAATTTTCCCTGTTATATATGGGAGTTTGTCCTTATGATGTTATTTCAATATTTCTTTCACTTGAGGCACACTTTCTCATTTTAAAAAGAGCTTTACTTGATGGTAACTTTCTAAGCAATCAACTAATTTAAAATTTACATTTCAGTTGCTTTCGGTATGTATATACAGTGTTGAAGGATTTTAAAAGACACCACACCTCCCACCCCCAAATCTTGTACCAATTGACAAAAAATTCTTCATTTCTCCCAAGCCCGGTCCCAGCATTAGGCAACCAATAATCCATTTACTGTTTCTATTCATTTGCCTATTTGAGACATTTCAGATATACGGACTCATTCAACATGTGTTAGTTTGTGATTGGGTTTTTTAATGTGGCTTAAAGTTTTCAAGAGTCATTCACATTGTTATATACGAATACATCAGCATTTCATTGTTTTATGTGTAAGTAATATTCTACTGTACGGATATACGAGAATATATCAGTGGTTGATAGATATTTGTGTGTGTCTACTTAAAAAAATATTGTGATTTGGGTGAAATGTCATAGAGCAAACTCACTTTTCATTCAACAATTCGTGCACATTTTGGTGTGTGTCATTGATTATAATCCCCACAATGGACCAGCATCTTCCCACTTCTTCCCCGTGCTTGCTTTTTCCCTTCCTCCTTCGTTCCCAGCCCTTCCTGCTTTCTGAGCTTTATTCCTGGGCAAATGTTGCCCTGTGGTCTCTTAGGGTTGGTTGTTCTGGGAATCATGTACCTTCCAGGTGTTATTGTTTACCCTGTACCCTTGTCTGTTGTTGGGTTGAAAGTTGAACCAAAGTATTAAAAGGTGACTAAAACCTATACAGTAGTCTCAAGAGTTCTATCCATCTCTGTTAGTCCAGATAGACTAGAGAAACAAATTCATAAACACGCATATGTGTATAAGAAAGAGCTTTATACACAAGAGCAATTGAATATTGAGAAATCATCCCAGCCCAGTCCAGATCAAGTCCATAAGTCTGATATAAGCCCATATGTCCGATACCAAACTATAAAATCCTCTTCAGACTCATGAAACACATGCAATGATGCCGAATGCAGGACAATCACAGATCAGTGGGTGGGAA